TGCAAAAAATGATTATTAACTGTAGTTAGAATGTCTTTCTCATCTGAGATCTTGCTTCTGCTCTCTGTTAGGTTGTACCTGACAAGATGATTGACAACCTGCTCCAAATCTGCTTCAGAGGAACATTTGAGAAACTGGAGGTAGCAGTCAGGGTAAGTGTTCTAACATCTAATAGCCTGAAATAGATAGTTAAGCACAAAATAAAAGGTATGGCAATCAATACCTTTTAATCATCTTCTCTGTCAGAACATGGTGGATGAAGGCTACGCAGCCACACAGATCTTGACACAGCTTCATGAGTGTGTCATAGAGCAGGACCTGAGTGACAAGCAGAAGTCGACTATCACAGAGAAGATGGCAGTAAGTCATATAATACGGTGCTGTTTTTTGCAGCTACAGTAGTAAGTTGGAATAAATGTAGACGTTAAATCCTTTTTTAATGACTCAATCTGTTTGTTTTTCTCTGGTTCAGGTGGTGTGCAAGTGTCTGTCAGATGGTGCAGACGAGTACCTGCAGCTGTTGAGTCTGTGTTCAGTCATCATGCAGGTGGCTTCCCACAACTAAATCCCCTTCCATAAACGTCATGGTCGTCTGCTCCCATTGGGACCAAAGGCTTTACAGAGACACTTAACTCAGATTTATCTGCATTTGATTGTTGTTTGGGATGCTTAACCGTGGACACCAGGCGACCGTGATCATTCATAAACAACGTCAGAGCACTTCATTAAAAAAAGAAAAGAAAAAAGGACATGTTAGTACTTATCCAACATACTTTTGTACACTTTCTGAATTCTGGAAAATAATAAATAGTTCTTTGTTTTCAGGGGTTTACTGTTTTTATTCTTCAAGGAAAGTGTTGAGTTAACAAGCAAAACTGTGACGTGTGCTCTTGGTGCTTTCTTAACTGAATTGTAAGACATATAATACAGTACAGTGCAGGTTTGATCCACCTCTCATTTAAACATAGTTTTGCTTTGGCATGATAATCACCCCAAACGCACTACCAGTGCAGTAAAAACATCATCAGTCATGAAATTGGCCTCCTTAGAGCCCAGACCTC